AGTATTGTTTTTTTATATATTTTTAAGTACTTTTCATCTTAGTACCAATACGGTATCAAAATTGATACTAATTTAGTAACAAAGTAAAATTATAGGAAACTTTTTTTTAAAATAAAATTATTCAACAAAATAAATATATTTTAAAACATTTCATTTTAGTACCAAAGTAAAAAAGTACCAAACTTATTTTATGAAAATTCAAAAAAAAAGTACCATAAGTTCTAAAGGGTACTAAAAGGACAATAAATATACTAAAACATATTATTCCTTTGGAAAGAAAAATTAAGAAAAGGGAATTTTAATTTCTTAACAATTTGGTGCCAAAGTTAAAAAGTACTTAAAAGATTTTAATTTCAGAATGTACAATTTGGTATTAATGCACAAAAGTACCAGAGTTAAGTCAAGTGGCCTCCGGTAGGTTAGTTGTTAGTGTTCTAGTCTGGTAGACCGGAGGTGGTGGGTTCGATTCCCACCTGGTTAAGGAGCGCACAACAGACTCCCGATAGAGGCCTTGGTGTATTTCTTCGGATTTGATGTATATATGTCCTCCTTTCAAACTAACTAACAAACTAAGTCAATGAAAAGCCTTTTCTTATAAATTTTTTAAACTTTAATAAAATCGATAGTTTTAAACTGATTTTTATGTTTCTAATTTGGTACTAAAAGTAAAAAAGTACCAAACAAATTTCAAAAACAAAGTTAAATAAAAAATCTGGTACTAAAATGGAAAAGTACCAAACTTATTCTTATAACTCATAAAAGCACCAAATTCTGAAAGTAAAAGTGCAAAAAAGTACCAAACTGAAAGTACTTTAAACATTTAATCAAAAATTTTGCAATTTTTATAAAATTTGTAATAAAACACTAACCCCCTTATTCACAAACAAAATTTTTATTTTATAAATTAGATTTTGTATGGAAATTTTGTTTTATAAACCTTTTATAAAATAAAAATGTTGTTTCTGAATAAGAGGGTAAAACTAAAGTTTTTAATAACTTTTTGGTACTAAAAAATAAAAGTACTTTATTGTTAAAAGAGACGATTGTTTTAAATTTCGTACTTTGTTGCAAAAGGGATCTAAATAAATACAAAATTCAGAGTTTCAATTTTATATGTCGAGAAGTTTAAGAAAAATGTATTCCTGACACTAAATCCAAAAAAGTACCACACCGAACTTTTTATATTTAAAAAGAAATCATGGAAATCAGCTTTTTAGTTACAAATTCAATAAAAAACTTATCGTACTAAAATATCATTAAGTAAAGTTTTTTTTGTGGGAAATAAATGAAACGTTTTCTTGGTACTAAAGCGAAAAAGTACTTTTAATATTTTACCCCAAAAAAAAAAATTGTGCAAATTTAAGGCATTTGCGATATAAATAACTTTATTTAGAATCCAATTTACTCAGAAATTTCTTGGTACTAAAATATCTTTAAGAAAAGTACCTTTTTAGCAAAATACTCCAAATAAACCAAGTATTTTGTATTAAAACTTGAAAAGTACTTAACAGAGAAAGCTTTTTTATATTTAACAAAAAACAATGCATTTAAAATCTTTTGGTACTAAAATATTATTAAACAAAGTACTTTTTTCTAAAGGCTCTAAACCAAAAAGTTTTGTATTTTGTACTTTTGCTAAAGGCTTTAAGCCAAAAAGTTTTGTATTTTGCACTTTATTGCAAAATGTTTTAGATTTTAAATTTAAAAGTGCAAATTTTTAAATTTATTGAAATAAGAAAAATATTTTTGGTACTAAATGGAAAAAGTACCAAAGTCTATTTAGTTTTTTGGTACTAAAGTTAGAAAAGTACTAAACTGAGAAAACTTTTTATATTTAAGAAGAAATATTGCAAAATTTACTAAAAAAAAATTGATTTAAAAATTTTTGGTACTAAAATACCATTAAAAAAAGTACTTTTTCCTAAAGGCTCTAAACCAAAAATTTTTGTATTTTGCTCTATATTGCAAAATGATCTAGATTTGGAATTAAAAAAGGCAAATTTATAAATTTGTTAAAATAAGAAAAATGTTTTTGGTACTAAATAAAAAAAGTACCAAACTTGGGAATTTTTTATAATTGATAAGAAATCTTGTAATTTTTTTATTTTGAGATAAAAACAAATTAAGTTAAAATTCAATTTAGTGGAAAACTTTTTGGTACTAAAATAACGCTAAGAAAAGTACTTTTTTTCTAAAATTATCTAGATAAATCGAAAAACCATTTAAATGCCTTGAAATTCCCCTTGACACTCTTATTATACAAAACTAATTTAAAAATTCCACGGCTCTTACTGTTATAAACATATTAGAGCGACATAATAAATATAAAGATTAAAAATCTTTAGACCGCTTGACAATTTAGTTTATCTTGTTTTTAAGATTTTAGTTTTTTTATGCAAAAAACTTAAGGTGAATATCTAATTGCTGCCAGCAAAAGTGAAATAGTTTAAAAAAAAATTGTGTTTAACACTTTTATTTCACATTGTCGTCGTCGTTGTCGTTGTTGTCTGATGAAAATGAAAATCCTGCAATATACAATTTTAATTCATTGTTGAGCCACAACACGTTTGCCTCATAAAATAAACTAAAGTACGACGAGTAGCAACAAGCAACAGGCGCCACATTTGGTATTTAAACATACAATTATTTAAACAAGTGTTTATTTATTTATCTTTTCATTGTTGTTTTGTTGTATTTAGTTTTTTTTTTGTTAAATACTACTCGTATTTGTGCTTTTACATTTATACAAATGAATTTCAAAAAATATTGTCATCATGTCAAAAAAAGCGAAGAAAAAATATGCGAAATTAAAGGAAATTATTAACATTGTCTTGTTTTCTGTTTTAATTTTGTTTTTGCCATATTGCAATTGTTGTCAGCATGTTGCATGTAATAGTTGTTGACTATTGTTATGTTAATTTTTGCTTGTTTTTTCCTTTCGTTGTTTTAGCTATTTGTGATAATTTTCTATAAGATGAGCTCTATAGTGGGTAGTTTTAGTGTTAGTGTTGGGAAAAAGTACTAAATGGGAAAAATTTAGTACTTTTGTATTCTAATTTTGTTTAATTAGTTAGTTTAAATGGAGGTTGTATGTTACATAAAATCTGATGAAATACACTTAGGGCTTTAAGGCTCCTTTACCAGTGTCTCTGGCGGGAATCGAACCCCCCGGCCTCTGGTCTGTCTAGGACAATAACTACTAACCTTCCGAAAGATCACCAATAATTTTGTTTTAACCAAAATAAAAGATGTAAATATCCTATCAAAAGATTAAGTAAAAAGTACCAAAACAAACGTACTTTTTAATAACTTTTTTACATACCTAAGAAAGTACCTCTTTAATGTAAACACAAAATGTTAACATTTCTAAAAAAGGCGAACAAATTTATCCGCTACAGTTTAAAGCTGTTATAGTACTTTGCAGAAAAGTACCTACTATTCAAAAAGTACTTTTTTCTGTTAACTAGCTTTATATTTGTTCATCTATTTTTATGTTGTTAGAGCTTTCCTTTTACACTTCTTAACAGTTAAAGTCCTTTATTAAATAGTACTATGAAAAAAGTACTTTTTGGTATATAATACCTTATATTTTAACTTTTAATTTTCGTTTTAATATCTTCAAGAAAAACCCCACCAAAAATTCTTAAACTTTATAATGAAACAAGCCTTTTCTATTATTAGTACTTTAAGTACTTTTTAAAAATAGTACGCGCAAGTCAAGAGGAAATGTACTTTTAGCAGATCTGTATTTTAATCATTTATTTTGTTTTTTCAAATCTTGTAGTTCTTGTTATTTTTCAATGACATCAAAGTTTTTCCATTTATAATTTATAACAGTAAAAGTACTTTTTAAAATAGTTCTAAAAAAGTACTTTTTGGTATAGACAGTTCCATATTTTATCTCTTCAACTTCAACTTAAACATCAACTAAAATTCTTAAAGTACTTTTACAAAAAAGTACGGTGTTGTAAAAAAGTACTTTTTGTATAGCTCTTTATTTTAAAATTGGAAATTTTCTTCTACAATTAGTAGCACTTAAAGTACTTTTAAAATACTTGTAAGAAAAAAGTACTTTTTTGATCCTGACAGATTCTATGACAGTTCTGAGTAAGTTTGTTTGTTTGTTAAGTACTTTTCAAAAAAGGTACCGAAGTTTTAAGGAAAAGGTACCATAAAAAAGTACTTTTTATATTAAGCAACTTTATAATTCAAATACAAAGGTATTTTCAAATTTTAGCCAAAATTTTCTTTAACAAGTTTTGGTACTTTTTTTTAAAGAAATTTAAAAAAAGTACTTTTTAACTTAAAAAACTTTCTAGAATCAAATAAAATTATTGTTTTTCAAATTTTAAAGCATTAACGTTTGAGTATTGATTTTGATTCCAAATTTTTTGAAACTTTGTTAAAATGCACTAAAATGTTTGGTAAAAAAATGTGCCAGAAAAAACGGGTATTTGCCTGTAATGCTTGGCTACTAAAAGTATCAAAAAAAAGTACTTTAGAATTAGTAGAAAAATGCACTAAAATAGGAATTAAAAAATTTTCTAAAAAGTATGGTATTAAAAAGTTATTCGGTAAAAAAAAGTACCAAGAACTTTTTCGAAAAAGTACCAAGCAATATGCATAGCAACACTTCACCACGATTTAGCATTCAAACAATTCGTTTTTACTCAGACAATTTTCGAAAAAAAAGTCTAACTAATCTCATTAGCAATTTGTTGTTGAATTGTTATAAATAAATGTGACAGTTAAACGTAGTTTTGACATTGACAGTATTGAATTTATAGAAGAAGAAAAAAAAAAAACTAATGACAAGACGAAAATGGTTAGGAATTAATAAGTTTGTTGTTTTTTACTAAAACTTAATGTTAATGTTTAACAATTTGCATTTGAGAATAATGAAAAAAATTTCACTTTTTAACACAAAGAAAGAAAACGATCTTGTGTGTTTTTCTAAAACCCGGTTTAAATTGTTTAGAATGAATTGTTCTGAAACTTACCTCTTCGCCTATGAGCACCTCTGTATTTATTGGGTGATAATACTGGTGGTCTGGGTGCCATCATTTGAGGCACTTCATCATTGGCTGTTAGAGTAGCAGAGCTATTCTTATGAGAACCATGACGTTCACTAGCCTGACGCCAATTGCCAAAAGAATGACGTCTTACGCCTGTTGAGGGTAATGTATGATGCTGTTGATTATGATGAGTTTTGCTTTAAAGAGAAAAAGTAATAAAATTTATAATTTAAATACTAACAATTTCTGCACGATTAGTTTTTTTGAAAAAAAAAAAAGACTGAAATCAAATGTCAACAGCTGCCTTAAAAAGATCAAGGCTATGGGAGGACTAATATTTAATTTTGCACTTACCTAGGCGATGATGTCGTGTTGAAAACATCATCATGTTCGAAACTGTGTTGTGATGTTTCATTACAGGAACCTAAACGATCGCGAAATGTTTCCGAATGTGAATTAGAGGAACGTTGACGTCTTTGGTGTAACGAAGCAGTGATTTGTGTTTGTAAATGTGCCGCCGACTGTTGATGTTGCGACATCAATGGTTGCAGTTCAAAAGATTGCTAAATTAGAAAAACAAACAAAATAGCTATAATATACGTTCACACAGAAAGGAAGTTCATTATTATTAGTTTTTTTCCCTTTCTTAACCCAACTGTTGCTGGATTTTATGATTTATGGCAATTTAAATAGTAAATTATGCTTTAATCTTTTGCTCAAATACTTACATGTGTAAAACCAAAACTGGCTCTAGGGCTGCCTAATGTCAAAGAGGCTGTTGTATCCAAATTGGCCGATGTAATTAAACGTGTTTGTTCGGGCATGGGTAAACGGGGACTACTGCCTTTGGAATTACGTCTTTTGAATATGGAAAAACCTTTATTGGAACTTTGTGAGTCCGGGGTACGTGGCGATTTGGGATCATTGTAAAAATAATAGGGATTATCTGTAAATAATGAAAAGAAAAATTAAACAATTTTACTTTTTTTTAGAAAGTTTTAATTTAATGATGTCATTTAGTTAAATTATTAAATATTCATGTAATATTATTACCCCCTCCATTAACTATTATGATTTATGTCCCGTCACTTTTGTTTTGAAAATTAAACTTAAAAAATTGCTATTATTACAATTTTTACATACTTATTGTGTTCATCTTGATTTGAATATAATAAAAGCTTTC